TTGCAACCTGCAGTGCCTTCCCTGCCTCGTACATTGTACGAACATTCCAGGTGCCAAGTCTGGTGGTTTTTCTGGTCGACAGGAGGTTTCTCGGCTTGGTGGCTTCCTTCCGGCTTTCACCACCCTGCGTCATTCTACACTCCCTATTCTCCCCTCTCCTCGGTGATGAAGGTCCTCCAACTTCCAGAACTGGCGGTCGTGTTGTTTTTGCTGTTGATGTTTTTGTAGCTGCTTTTGTTTTTCGGGAAAGGGCCGCTAAGCCTTTGCCCAACCGACCTTAGTCGCCTTGTACGACATGCGCGGTACGGATACAGTGGTCCTATTCTTTGCTCCCCTGTCTCTTGGACAGGGCCCCGAGAACCACACGGGTGGATCTTTCCCTGTTACCGTACCCATTTGTTTAGGTTCCCTGAGTATGTTGTTCTGGGCCTACCCCTGCCTCGCTTGCCCTCAATTTGCCAGTGAGAGCTAGATGTTCAAGACCCTTTGGGAGGCAGCGTGGCGGAGTCAGGCTCTGGTCAAATTAATCAAAGTGAAGAAACGCATTTTTTCGCAGGTTTATGAATTATTTGTTGTTGTTGTTTTTTTGGCTCAACACCTTTCATACCCATTAAAAAACTCATTTCTGTGTGGATATTTCTTTAAAATGTTGATTAAAGGCACAGAAAATGTAAATTTTCAGTTACCACGGACTCGAAAGCTGAGGAAATAACTAATCTTTGGCTGTCATTTTCTCACTAATATTACCTCTGAAAACAGGTGACCCCCACCTCCTTCATTCGCAAATATCTCGATTTGTATTTTTAAGATAAATGAATATTTTTTCATCCTAATAAAGACAAGTAAACGAGCTTTAAGATGATACCAATAACTCTACATGCCCAAAAATTGACGAGAGCCTGATTTCACCACGTTGCCTCACTTATGTCTATTTATTTGTCCCAAAAACAGCATTTGTCGTTTCCTGATTGTTTTTAACATTGAGCGTCCCACGTGGGCTTCATCAAGCACTACCTCATTTGATTTCTTTTCCTTCCACGATACTCTTAGCAGTCTCCTAAGAAACCACAAAGCAATGGAAATACACTGCGTTTTTAGTCGATGGGAATCTTTTTCATATTTACATCGTAGTAAACCAAATTATCAATTCAATTAATGATGTGTGTACAACCCTAGACTTATGCAGCAAGGGTATTATATTGTATTCTATCGTGACCATTAACTCATTGGAAACGCTAATCCTGCCCATTCGAATGCTTGAAAAAGCTTAACTTCGTTATATCTATACAAATTGTCCAATTCTGTTTTCTGTTTCTGAAACTTAAAAAGGCAGGCAACAACAGTTACATCACTATGAAATGTCCAATGTTGTGTTTCTGGTTTGTGTGTGTGTGGGCTTGAAATGTGCCACAACACTGACTTTGATGTGTTATTGGTCGGATAGATGTGTCTGACGCGTTCTTAAAGAGTTAAGATTTGGGGAATTGGAAATCTTGAAGAGGGAATTTAGTGTTTCTGCTGCCACCCGTGCTTTAATTTCAAACGTAATATATCGCAGTCAAACGCAGCTGGCGCCTGAGGGTTGCCTTTAAATAACGCTCACTCGCCAGGCGACAGACAGAGAAAATGAAAGCAATGCATAATGCCAACATAATATTATTATAAAAATTACAGTCGACTCCGCTGCGTTGAACTTGTTTGAGTTGATCTTCGGTTAATTATGTTGATATATTTTTTTTTGGGGTCCCTGCATCTTCTTCTTTACATATCCCAACGGTTAAGTTGAACTTCGGATGAGTTGATCTTTAAACTTTAAACTTAATCCCCTGACGACATCAACTCGTCCGTAGGCGAATGTATCAATAGTACATTATGTATCATCCCAACAGGCCGTGGCAGCAAAGCAAGGACTCTCCATTGCCAAAGAAATAGAGGGGATAGGCCTACATAGGGTATTAATTATAGGCTACAATCAGTCGCAGACCTGATGAAGGCCAAGTCTAGTTTTTAGTTTAATTATTTAAGAGTTTAACGACACTTGCAACACAGTAAGGTCATAGAGGTGCCGAAAATTAGAGGTTTTACAAGAGAGTAACAGACATTAAAAAGAAGCCGAAGAGATAAGGGCGATAGATGTTTGATAGGACAGAAGAAGTAAACCACACCAGAGCGCCCGCCAACCACCCACATTAAAAACTTCTATGAAGCCATGCGTCACATCAGATTGAAACTAAAACGATCAATAAATTATTAATAGTATCACTCTTGAGAACTCCAATAAATGGCAGCAAGTTCGGATATGCGAAGTTACATTATGTCTGGCAAAGATGATTAAGTAAAAATCACATGGCCATGTGTGAAACATTTTTTATCAAGGCCATGAATAGACAGAGAGAGAGAGAGAGAGAGAGAGAGAAAGAGAGAGAGAGAGAGAGAGAGAGAGAGAGAGAGAGAGAGAGAGAGAGAGACAGACAGACAGACAGACAGACAGACAGACAGACAGACACACAGATAGACAGACAGACAGACAGACAGACAGACAGACAGACAGACAGACAGACAGACAGACAGACAGATATCAGGAAGACAATATATGAGGCAGCGTGGTGGAATCAGGCTCTCGTCAAAATAATCAAAGTGAAGAAACTTGCATTTTTCCGCAGGTTTGTGAATTTTTATAAAATATTTGTTTTTTGCTGAACATCTTTCATGCCTATTAAAGAACTCATTTCTGGCTGGATTTTTCTGAAAAGTGTTGATTAAAGGCACAAAAAAGTAAATTTTCAGTTACCACGGACTCTTAAGCTAAGGAAATAACTAATCTGTGGCGGTCATTTTCTCACTAATTTTACCTCTGAAAACAGGTGACCCCCACTTCCTTCTTTCGCAAATATCTCGACTTGTATCAAAGATAAATGGATATTTTTTAAATCCAAATAAAGACAAGTTAATACGCTTTAAGAATATACCAATAACTCTACATGCCCAAAAATTGACGAGAGCCTGATTCCACCACGCTGCCTCACATATTGTATCAAAGTGATAGATATATCTTCAATTGGAGTGCTATAGGCTGCTTGAAAATAGAGCTCAGACACCAAAGGTTACCTCATCTGAAATCCCAGAATAATATAATGATCTCGAGTTTTATAGGCATAGGCTACCCACCACGGCAGTACCGGGTAATAGTATTACCATACCCACCCCATGGCCTCCCTCCCCAACACACACATAAACACACGTATTGCTCCAATTTTTAACCTGCAAATCCAGCTAATTGATAGCCTACATGCTTTGAGCCCAGCAAAGGTCTCTAACAACTCTTTTTCTTGCTTTGTTCGCTGGTTTGTTCTAGGCTCACGCGAGGTTCCTCAAAATTTAATGTGGAGGACATTTAAATCATTGTCAAAGGGTGACAATTAATTTACTTTTGTGTCCATGATTTTGTCATAACTGCAGCACATAATAATGCATCTTCCCTATCCCATTTGTCCGCAGCCGCTTTTCTCAGAGCCGTCAACAATAATAATATGTATTCATTTGCACCTCTGGGTGAATTCAGTGAAGTGAGGAATATTTCGCGTGTGCCTTTCCAAAGGACACTAACGACGGTACGTCGGTCACGTCACGTCGGTCGGGATTCGAACCCCGCGACCTCATGGTTGTCAATCCGAGAGCTTAAATTAAAAAAGAATGTTCACATTAACTGATATACAAGCGCTTTCATGATTGTCAATAGCCTAGGGCCTTATACCGTGATCTTCAGTCGGAGATTTTCAATTTTGGTTCTTTCTAAACTTTCTTTGATAGGAACAAGTTACAGGGAAGATGAAAAAGATCAATAATTTCATGTTGTGTCCTTTCATTCATATAAACGTGTCAAAGAGAAATAAATTACATGGACTGTGGTCATTATAATCTTTTAAAAAATCAGTTATATATATTAAAACTTAACATTAAGAAGCCTGTCCAGAATTCGCACTCGCACTACTCGTACCGTATTTGAAATGTTTGCAAAATCCTGGCATAATTTCCGTTGTGTACATTGCCACACCGGATGCCTGCCCTACCATAGCTAGCTGCTGTAGGCCTAGCAGACTCAAAACATTGTTTGTGCTGCGTTTCAGTACGAAAGTCTCTTGATGAAAACACAATTTCAAGTAAACGGACTGAAGGAGATTGACTGTAATTAAATCACCAAGGTCACTGTTAGTCCATGTGGACATCCCAAACATGATTGGCAGCTGCAGGCCATGCATTTCAGTAAACATAAACACGTACGCGAGGAGACGTTTCAACAAGCTCGTGGAAAAGCACAGATCATTTTTTAGTGGGCACCACCTTCTTCACACTTCTGCCTCTAAATCTGCCCCAGTGCAAAGCCAGAATAAATCTAACATTGAATATTGTGTTGATCTTGTGAGGTAGGTATCATGGCCTCAGATAGAACATGATCTTAGGTTGCATAGATCTCTAGAGATAAAATCATTATGATTATAATCTACTAGATCTAGTACTAGATTTCTAGATCTATATCTAGATCTAGATTCTAGATCTAAATATCTAGAACTAATTATTCACAATTCACTTGAACTTGGACCCTCTGTCGAGATTCTAACCTTCTCATTGTAATTGCCAAGTTACAGTTTGAATTAGATCTAATCTAGATGTTTTAGATGCATATTGTATTCTCAAAGTAAAATGAGTTCACACTGATTGTCTGTAGTCTCTAGTGTAATAGGGGGGGAGGGGGGGCACATACACGCGATCGGGTCGGGACGGGCCTACCGGGTAGTCGGGGCTAGCCAAATTGAGGGCGCAAAGCGGCCATCGTTGCACGAACGGATTGACTCTGTCGGTGACATACAAAAACTAATTTGTTTTTAGGCTGCGAATCGCACGATCGGGTGGTTTGCAGCCAATCACAACAAGGCTGAGTCACATGATGTCCATTTTGACCCATGAATACATTAAGTAGGCTGGGATTTCACAGTTTCGGTCTCACGCCTTGAACGTCTTCTCAATTCTCAACACTAAGGCGAGAATAAAAATCCTTTGTATTCTCAGACTGGGTGAGAATGAAATGGATACTGTTCTCACCCCGGGTGAGAATAACGACAGCCATTAAATAAATATATATAAATATAAAAGTAGTTTAGGGGCCTCATTTGTTACACTCGGGTACCCCACCTTTTTACTTTCGGCAAAGACTCGTGTGTATCATGCGTGTGAAAGAGAGAGAGAGAGAGATTAATGTGCAGAAATCATCCGTGAAACATTAGAACACCGATGCACCTTTCCATGTTAGATTGGCCTATTTCGTAACTGAGTAGATTGAAGTTGAAGAGTCAAAATGTGACATTATATCACTATGCACTGTTGCTTGATTGATGCTGTCAATAAATATGAGAAGAATTTCAGGGGAGTAATTAAACTTGTTCAAGCTTGGAAATTCGATGGCTGTGTTACAATCTCAGCACTTGCTGACTAAATAGAATATAATTCTGTTGGTCATACCACAGTCACGGTATAGTGTACGGCTTATGACATGACTATAATATAATTGCTTTGTTTTTTATCCATGCAGGAAGAGTGATTATGAAAACTACCTGGCCACTTTGCTTCTCCCCAAGAATGTACAGAGGGCTGCTTTTGCTCTTCGAGCCTTCAATGTTGAACTCGCTCAGGTATCTTACTTTGAACATAGTTTGCCATAATATAATATTATAAAGTTGTTTAAACTGATTGTTATTGCTCCAACAGTTTGTGGGATTCACTTTACAGACAATAATTCTGAGAAAGAACTGAGTTTCAAGTCTGATTGATACAGTAAAAACCTTGCACCAAGCAGAAAAATCTTTCAAGAAAACATTATTCTCAATTTAAAGGAGAAATCATTTCACTGTTTTTAAAAAGCTCATCAAAATAAAATGTACACCTCATGTTAAATTGATCCTCTTATGGCCAAACAGGTGCCCTCTTGGTTACCCAAATCAATGCGTCTTTGTTCACTCTTCTTATTTCCCACAACAAACTGATGATTGGATTGTGTCTTTTAATTTATGTGAATGTTTCTGTTACTTTTTCACATGATGCATATTAAATGAAACATGAAAGAGACTCCCTGTCAATTTATATATGGCTGATCACAGACACTCTTTCACAGACACCAATTCAAGTATCTTGCAAGATCTGTAATAGTATTGGGAAGTTGAATGTTTCTGAAATTGAGTAAGGAATATGGAGTATGTGGTTAATTGGTTGATTGATTTTGCAGTTTTTTTCTTTTGTTTTTTTTCTTACTGAAACAAATGACAATTCTAGCCCGTCTTTTCAACTAAAATATCAAACAAAATACAACAAACATACAAAAGTGAGGAGAAATTTATCCTCAGTCAGCTATTTCTAAAAACCATTAAAAGTTAAAAAATCTTCATTAAAAAAAACCTCTTCCTGTTTGAATGTAAATTGTAAAAGTAATGCCAAAGCCTTGCTTTCGCTAGCAAATTTTGTTGTTGTTTTTTTTTCTTTCAGGTACGGGATGTTGTGTCAGACAAGACCATAGGCCTCATGAGAATGCAGTTCTGGAAAGACTCAATGAGTCGAATATTTCAGGTACAGAACGTAGTTGTCTCATTTTAATAATTTTTTTCAGGAAAGAAAGCTGTCTGCATTTCACTATCAGTCTCTACTCCTAAAAAAGCTCTAAGTTGTCTAGCACATTGCAGAAGCAGCACAGATGTGACTTTTAACTCTGGGCTATCCCTTTATTTAGTGGATGTCTGTGCAAATAGGATTTGAGGGTGCCATGACGGAGCCATTAGTGCTCACGTCTCCGAAGTTGAAAGTCTGGGTTCAAGCCTCAGTTCGGACTCAAATTTTTTTCGCCCCTTCCTGCCCACCCAGCAGTAATGGGTACCTGACTTCGAGTTGGGGAAGTAAAGGCGGCGTGGAAAGGAACTGGCCACCCTACCACAATATGCCAGGAAGATGTCTCACTAACAAGGCGATCCCCAATGTCCGCATCGGATGCGGAAACGACTTTATCTTGCGCAAATAAGTGTCAATGCTTCAATACACTTGTCACCTGAGGGTGTTGTTACAATGTGCCTATCACAACAACAACACCCCCTCCCCCGCTGCTCACACCCACCTCACAGCTCATACATACACATACACACACAGACACACACACAAATAACACATATGCACACCCTCATGCATGCACACACACACACTCACACACGCGCGCACGTCACACACACACATACACACACACACACACACACACACACACACACACACACACACACACACACACGCACGCGCATCGGAGGCTCGGGTTCAGGGATTTTTTTCCGCTGCTTTTGCACTCAGAAAAAAAGAGAATATTAAGAAAAGATTGTGCCTGTACATGCCACAATGCATGAGAATTCACTTGCTGACAATCAAAAGAGTCAGTAATTTTTTCCAGAGTGATATTATTATGTATAGCGTTTTAATCATCACAGGTGACACTTTTCTGAAGACACCAAGATTTATTCTCTTTTCTAATATTTCAGGGTGACCCTCCCCAGACACCTGTGGCTGTGGAACTTGCTGGGGTCAGTATGATACACTTTGGTTTGAAAGCAGTTGAAAATTATTATGAACTGATTTGTTTAATGGCACCAATTTTTCCTCCTACTTCTGGCACAGTTATTCAGTAGGCTATGATGTGGTGAACAGCAAAATGTTTTGGAGGAATAAATATAAGTGAAATATATGTGATTAGTTTTTATTAAGTTTTAGTAAGAGTTTCACGGCACCGGCAACACGTATAAGTCATATTATAAGTGTACCCGGTGGCTAGGCATACGGGCAATTTTAGACGCCACCAGTGTACCAGTGGCTAGACTCAAAGAGTTGAAGATGATTTTGTGGGTAGTTAGCAGGTGTTCTGGTGTGGATTGCTCCTTTTTGTCTATCAAACATCTACTGTCCATATCTCTTCTCCTTCTTTTTTGTGTTTGTTACTCTCTTGTAACTCCTCCTATCTTCGGCCCTTATTTGACTTAATTGTGTTGTAGATGCTGTGAAACTTTTACTACAACAAATAAGATGATTGTTCAGCTCTGCAAAAATTTTTTTTTTCTGGGCACAAACCCTGAAACAACTTTGCATGTCTGAGAACAAAAAATCTCTTTGGTCACAAGCAAATCGACTTAATCTGTCTGTTTTCAGTCTAATCTTTGAGCAGAGCAGTATATTCCCTAAGGTTGTGGTGAATGTGCCCCCCCCCCCCCCCTCTCTCTCTTTGTATACATGAAAATTATCTTGCATATATTTTAAAAAATGAACATGAAATTGAAGAGTATTAAGAGCACAATTTGAATGCTATCTGTATGTCGGTGTAAAAAATGTTGACTTTACTTTAATGTATTTGTTCAAGATAATTTTCACACAGAGCACTTGTCTATGTTTTCCCCCCCCCCTCTTAGGTGTGTGGTTTCTACAAGCTGTCTAAGCGCTGGATGGAGCGTATAGTGGAGGCCAGGGTAGGTGTTGAGAACACATTAATTTGAACTAAATAATTAATAGATATGATGTCTGTCTGTTCATTTTGTAAAAGATAGAGGCATTACAAAAAATTTGAATCCTTTCACCCTGTGATTTTCATTTCCTCTGCTTGTGATATTGAAACCATGGTTCAACAATGTTTAAATATTTATTACTTGTGAAACGATTGCTATTTTGAAAAAATAAAAAACACCTATAGTGGAATAGCAGTTTGAATATTGGGATATTTCCCCTCCCATCCTCAGATACAATATGGTGTCTTTTTTTTCTTTCTTTTTCTATTTGTCCCTTTATCTTGGAACTGTGAGTGGTTAGTGGGTGTTCTCATATAGTCTACTCGTTCTACTTATTTTCAAAGTTTCTGTTGCCCCCAGAATGTGATTGTAACTAATTCGACATGATTACATTGTCACAAAAATGATGTCTTGAACATAAGGCTATGGGAAGATGAAATTACCTGAATGTTGTACCTCAGTCATTGTTAGTAACTGTTAAAAGATAGGTCTCACTTATATATCTTGTCCCATAGCCTTTTTTGTTTTTTTCTGTCTTGCCACAACTTCCTTGTCCCACTTCTTTCTTACTCCTGTTACCCATTTCTGTTTAATGATAATGATGAATAGCATTTACATTGTCCATTTTCATCTCGATGAGATACTCGTCATGTATTACAATAATTAAATAGGTATGGCAAACACATTCACAATTCAAAAGAATGTTAAAAGACGACATACTTGTACTTTGATGATAATCCACTCTTGCAATAAGCAAGTATATAGATACCCATTTGGACATGAAAAAAATTATTATGATCAACAACTCACAATTTGAAAAAAAGAAAGGAATCTGCACATCTGATAAAACGATTATGGCGTAATCATATTTTCTTACTCTCAATATCTCCATAGAGTATTAATTTAAATATTTTTTCCTTATGAGACACTTTTCTTGAGATTTTAAAATTGAAGGTTATATCTTAAATATCAAAGACAGATAAATTTGAGATGATATTTCATTTATATTAGATCATCCTACTCCATCATCTTACTATTTTTCTGTATAAGCATTTTCTTCCTTTATGATTGGTTCTGTGTTGCCTTATTCACTTCTTTCTGTCTTTTTCAGGCATTGCAATTGAACAGGGATTCCTTCTTGTCTATAAAAGAAGCCGAGGAATATGCAGAACACTCAAATTCCTCTCTTACTTACCTTCTCTTGGAATGCTCAGGTTTGTAAAGAGTGAATTAAAATCTTTTTATTGCTTTCTCATTTGATGTGGCCAAATTTCATTCTGCAGTTACTGAATTAACTCTTTTTTCGAATGATGGTGGGCAGTGTTTGTTGCACCTTTTGACATTGTGAAAAGGACTTAATAACACTTTCAACCCACGCAGCATTTAATAACACTTTCAACCCACGCAGCATGTAATAACACTTTCAACCCACGCAGCATGTAATAACACTTTCAACCCACGCAGCATGCAGAGTGCGCAACACTCATCTCCACTGACCAGGATACAGGTGCGGAACATGCTATATCACACCGGCGCCGATCGGCGTCTTGTAGAGGCAAAGTGTTATGGACGAACTTTATTAAGTTGAAATTATGTGTAAGCCTATATATTTATCAGGTTTTAAGGCAGAATACTTTTTTAAAATAGATGATGCAAAATCTGTTTGCTGTCATAGTTCATGACAACTTGGTAGAATTGTTTATTGTTAAAAACATAGTTTTTAAAATTCTTTTTAACCATTTCCCCAAAACATGTATTTGATTCACAGTACAATGGTTGTTGGAACTACAGTGTATAAATGATATTCTCTTCATTGTAGAGTTGTTGTTTTTTTTAAATGGGAGACCAAATTCGCTGTTTCAAAAATAGAAAGCTGTTATAGTTCTTGCTTCTGTGGTTTATAAGTAGGGATATAACAGAAAAATGATCTATTAAGGGTGTCTAAATTCTTGTCCCCTGATTATCACAGCTTCTTAGCCTTTTATAGTGTTTATACTATTGTAGTAGTAGTTTGATATGGGTTTATTACCTCTTTTGAACTGTGTTAAGCGATTTGAGAGGTGGTGCCCACGAGTTTTATCAAACAGGGCCTTGAGAAACCTCCTGTAACAAGCCAGGTTCAGAAAGGATCACTAGGGTTTTGAGCCAGGACAGGAGGGGCATGTGTAGCACACTTTCTTGGTATTGCCCTCAGACAATCTGCATCTTCTCTGAGTTGGTAGAGACACTTGTCCCTTCGGACCAGGTACGGTACACGCTTTTTCACATCGGCATCTCGTGTGGAAAAGAAACGACTTCTTATGGTCACCGATCAGCGTCCCATGGGGGCAAAGTGTTAAAGCTTATATTGCTGTGTTAGTATCCATTATCTTGGGGTGAAAGTCAGTGCTCGGGCTTTATTCCCATGTTGTTCAGCTACTGTGAGGGTAAATGTCGCTTACATTTTTTCCCCACAAAGTAGATGAAATTTTGAAAAACCAATATGAAGCTGAATCCTCTTTAAAAGTTTAAAAACACCTCTAAAGTTGTTTTCTCTGATTAAATGTCATATATTTTTTTTTTAACATCTCTATTGTTTTTGCAGGTACGTGTGTGATGAGAAAATTTTTTCGAAAGTAGGAATAAAAGACCTTTTATTGCTTTCTTTCTTTTCCATCGTAAAGGCATCAAGAATGTTCAGGCAGATCATGCTGCCAGTCACTTGGGCAAGGCTCAGGGGCTGGTCACCTTGGTGAGGGCTGTGCCATATCACGCTGCTAGGAGATCTGTGCTCTTGCCCATGGAGATACTGGCTAAGGTGATGATTGTTAAAACAGTTTACTGTAAAGTATTAACTCATTAAAACCTGAGTTTTTTCCTCCTTTTCCTGGAGTTTTTTCTTCAGCCACCTAAACCGGATGCACTATGTCTCATTATAACCCCGAAAGCTTACCTACAACTTCTAAATGGCAGGAACAAAGGCTTAGTCATTACTAAAAAAAAACTTGATCAGAAATAGTTTTTTCAAAAGGAAAAACTAGCACTAAATAAAAGGAAACAGTTGTCAGTAGTACTGGACGCTCCCTGCGTCCGATGGGGTTTAAAGAGTTACATGGAACATGATTTCTGGTGCATGAACTGGCTGACTCCTTGTTCTAGATGTTGTAAGTCTGACTGAGAAGAGAGCCCTTTGCCAAATAGATGTCAGCTTCCCAATCAGCTCGTTGTGTGTTATCGGCTAGTTGAATTTTGATGTACATGCAATGGATTTTCTCCAATTTAGTAGTGAAGACTGGTTGGGAATGTCACAGATTAATTCCATTGATGGTTAAATGACACTGTTTTCATTCCTTTGAAAGATCATATCTGAGTTAATATGGGTTTTTTTGTCTGTGGTTGTAAATGATTGTTAATATTTCATGCCTCTGTCAACTCAGTTTAGATTGTTTAGGTAGCATACTTCTTCAACCCTGCCTTTCAGGGCCAATCCAGGCTGAATGAGACACAGCATTTCAGGAGGAAAACAAAAATGCTTGATATAATAATTAACCCATATCTTTTACATTAATTTTGAAAGTCCTAACTATTACACAGTAGACACTATTTACTACAGAGGTGAGGAATTGCTAATGAAAGTGCTGACATTATATTTAGATGGCACTACAAAATTTAACTGTCTGTATTTTTTTTTTTCAGCATAAGGTATCTCAAGAGGACGTGATAAGAGGAAAAGATGCTCAACCAGTAAAAGACGTCATATTTGATATAGCCAGTGTGGCCCATCAACATTTGGAAAAGGTAACCATTTCCTCAAATGAATTTGAGCACCCTAAGACAGTAGTATGCACTGTTTGTCCTTTTTGTAGAAGTTCTGTTGTGAAATGTTTGATTTTGGGTGGTTGGCGGGTGCTCTGGTGTGGTTTGCTCCTTCTTTCCTATCAAATATCTATCGTCCTGATCTCTCCTCCTTCTTTTTTGTGTATGTTACTCTCTTTTAACACATCTATTCTTCGACTTTTATATAAACTTATTGTGTTGCAAGTGCTGTAAAACTATCACTAAAACTAAAAAACTATTATGAAAACTTTAAAAAAATGTTTGATTTTTAATTTTATGGTTTTATTAGGATTAATATTTTTTAAAACTTGGTTGTCTCTTTCAAATATGTGATCCTATTACTGCTGCAAACTTATACAGTTAAGGCAGTTTTTTGAAAGAGGCACTCAGCACCTTAAAATCACATTTCTGGGTGGATTTTATAGAAAAACGTTGATCAAAAGCACAAAAAAATGTAGTCACCAAACTTTGCTGGCCATTTTCTGACTAACGTTATCTCTGTCACCGGCTGACCCCTACCTTCTTCAGTCACAAATGTCTAGACTTCAAGGTAAATAGGTAATTTATTTTTCATTATAAACATGACAAATAAACAAGCTTTAGGATGACTTCAACTCTATATGCCAAAAAATTGGTGAGCTCTGGATACCATCCACAGTGTTGTGACACAAATGATAAGATTATTTTGGTGAGTTTGGTGACCATGTCCTAAGCATGTCACAAAGACATTTTCCTAGTTTGTTTTGTTTTTTTCTTCACTTCACACATGATGGCATGGCAGGAGAAACTGACCTCTCATGCCAGATCTGGCCATCGTTTGGTGACCTTGCCTTCCAGTGTACTAGATCTTTGAACGTGGCAAAGTTAATATCTGTGGGTGGTTTGCGCGTGCTCTGGTGTGGTTTGCTCCTTTTTTCCTATCAGACACCTATCGTCTTTATCTCCCCTTCTTCTTTTTTGTGTTTGTTACTCCCTTGTAACACCTCTAATCTTCGGCTCTTGTATGACCCTATTGTGTTGCAAGTTCCGTAAAACTCTTACTAAAAGTAAAAGTTATTATCTTCATGTGGTAGTCCTCTGTGATTCATTTGATGTTGTTTAATGGCTGAAAGCATCATAATATTTTCTACTTTCGGCTTATGGAAGACATATCACAACTAATATTTTTTTGTTTATAAAACGATACTCTTTTTTTTGCTTCCTTCAGGCAAGATCTCTTCGTTCAGACTTGCCCGATAAATGTTATACAGTCTTTTTGAATGCGGTGAGTTTCTCAAGTTTATTTATTAATCCAAAGCAATGTTTTGCTGCATTTTATTTTTTTTTTATACTCTGGTGGCATTTTCTAGTGTTGGTTTCCTTTGATATCTTTGTGTGCATTTCATGACCATTCACATGCCTGGATAATTAATAGGTCTAGTTATATGTACTTATGCATGTGAAAGAATAATTATGTGTCAGTATTACCTGAGTGTGCACAAATGCAGGTGGTGTGTGCAGTCATACACAATTGTGGAATAAGTGTGTATGATGTAGCAGTTAGGTGCTTCACCTTCGCCAAGGACTGATTTATGGTAACTATCAGTCCTTTTTAAAAAATACTTTATGACAGTTTTTTTTCGATATGCTTCTCTTTTCTGGAGCAAACATTTGGGTCTTAGTTTTTCTATCAGCCATTTTCTGCTGTGACCAAATAAAATGTTATACATGTATAAACTGTACTGATACTTCATTGGAATAGTTTGTCAGTGTGCTTTCATCAGTTTCAACAATCAGGACACAAAACAGATCACCCAACATCATGTCAACACAATTACATTGTGAATGAAGCTTCTCCCCCCACCTCACCTGCCCCACCTCCACCCCTCCCATCAGTGATGCACAAAGCCAACATCTCCTTCTACCCAGAGTTATGTTAGTTGGCTTTGTGTGAATCACTGCACACCACTTTTCAGTGTTGAGTAGCAAAAGAAGAGAAATTTGAGGAAATATGGATGTTCTAGAGGCTCTAGAACTTGATTTCTAAATAAGAACACTAACACTGTAGATTACCACAAAAATTGATTTTCTTTTTCGAGCCAGGTACACCCTTTCTGTCCATTGTCAAGCCAGTTGATTTTGTACTCTGACTGTTTTTGTGAACTAAATGTCATATTCTACAGAATTATAATTTATTGGTATTATTAATCCTTGTACTTTTTTGGTGATTTCTTTACCAGGTAATAAAATGCTGATTGTTTGTATCTGCAGGCTGTGTGTGACCACTACTTGAAGGCTCTTCAACAAGCAGATTTCAATGTGTTTGATGGAAAACTGCAACAAAGAAATCATTTACTAGCATATAGCATGTTCTTCAATAAATTAAGAAAGAGATTTTAGATAGAAATTAAGCACTGGTTTTATGAAATTCTCAACTTCTGTGTCCTGGATGAAAAATAAACAAATGTTCAAGTGGACATTCAAAAAGATCTGGATGATGTTATTTTTAAATTTGTGTTTATGTATGTCAGTGATCTGTTCAAGTTCTTAGTGTCTGATTTTAAGAGCAATGACAATGACAATGACAATCTTTATTCATCTCGCAGGGAGAAATTTGTCTTGGTCGTTAACAATGGCAGTAGACGTTACAAAAGTTAGACTTAAAGGTGCACTCACGCAAACGCACAAGAAGACAGGACATTAGGCCAAGTAAATACATGTCTCACGGGCTGGGACAACCCGCTCCGTAAAACATTCATTCTCTCTCTCTCTCTCTCTCTCTCTCTCTCTCTCTCTCTCTCTCTCTCTCTCTCTCTGTTTCATTTGTAGCACTGTGTGTTCAGTAACCTCACTGCAGTTGGTACGAATGAATTTCTATATCTGTCTGTTCTTGCTCATTTTTCCGTGTGAGAATGTAGTGCCCCTTGCATTCTTGGGAGCCTTGTGCAGTTTTTCAAGAAACTGCAAAATTTGTATTTAATCTCTATTCTTCGTTTACTAGCATGAATTTGCTTTCATCTTTACTTGTGCGTCTGGCTGAAGCAGGTCTTTTTTTGTTGTTATTAATGTATGTGCTTTTACATCCCCCTCAACCTGATTTAGATCTTTGGGGGTGGGGGGTTCTCGCCCCACAATACGAGCAACTCGTTTTGCGGGAAGGCCGGTCGTGGCGGGGATCTAAACTTAGAAACTAGGCTTGCCCTGTTGCGCTGGCGCAGGCTGTGAAGGAAGGTAGGGAGACCAAGGCCTAGGCCCTGATCAACTCCCCACTCACCTTGTCTCGCCACCCTCTCCCCTTCCTTTCAGTTTCACACACAGGACGGCACGGTGATGGGTGGCACTGTCTGCGTTGTCATTTCTCGCCTCTCACTCTCTCGCTACTGTTACTCGTCATGTCAAGCCAACGATCAGTATCAAGTCTCGGTACCGAGCAGTAGTTAAGTGCTCGGGCAGAGACGGGAAGGGCGTTTCTCGCGAAAAACGAGTACTTGGCTCGTCTCGTGCCCGCCCCTACCACAGACACCAGTGAGCGGTTCCTCTCTTTGAGGACGTTTGATCTCCTGTGTCTCAGCGTGTCTTAGAACATGTGCTCCTCCCCTCAGAGGGTTTGTCACATGATGCCTGTCAGAATAGACAAGAGCTTTCTCAACATTAAAATTAGGAGTGAGTGGGCTTGCTTTGCTTTCCTGAGGTGGCACTCGTTTGGGCGTGAGTATTTGCTTTGGTGTCTTCCTACTTTCTTGAAAGTTTCCTTTACTTCTGAGGTTAAATGGCGTTCAATAAAATTTTAAAAGTTCTTTCTCAGATAGAAACACTGGGTGAGAAATGTCCTTTGAAGGGCATGATAAACTCCAACACATTTTGGATTGGAAACGTTAATCTCTGCCTGCAGTCTAGTAAATTGAGCAATCAAAAGAGGACAGCCTTACTTTTTCAAGAATATCAATAACCTCACGCTGTAGGACAAGACTACAGTACCAACAGATTAACCCTATCCATACGTCATGTTTTACTATCGTATCCATACAACGTGGGGACCTCTGTGCCACCACTTTCCAAAAATTTACTCGATAATCCAATCTGTACACTTTGCATAGCAGTCTGTCAAAATGATTTGTTTTAGAAAGACTGAAAGTTTCAAAGAGATCTTCGTACTACTAGTACTAGAAGTATTCTAACATTTGAAGAATACAACCTCGGGGGTACAAAATGACCCCAGGGTGTACAGATAGGGTTAAACGTCTTGCAATCAGTTAGAATAAGAAACATGGCTGGTGTGTCAGTCAGTTACCAAAGTGACAGAGGGCAATATTATGTATTAAAAGGGCAATATTTATCAAAATAAACAACAAAGAAGAGAAGGTATATTTAGAGTAGCTTTATTATTGGTATTTTTTTTTCACTATCACAGACAACATCAAAATAAGGATAAACTTAAGTACTCTTCTGACTATCGCCAGCAAACTGTTAAATTTGAGTGTGAATGATACTTCAGTACAAAAACCACAGAAAAACCGCCACAGGATATGAAATATGCAAAGCACATCTGATATTCAGTTAAAAAGAATATTACATTTACGAAACAAAAAATTGCTGTGTACACATAATATGTCCTATATTACATGCACTGGTACTTAATCTGTTCACTCTTACTGTTCTTCATTTTAAGAAGAAAAGAAAACAGATAAGGGATATGTTGAAATTCATACAATAATTGCTGCTATTGTGTAAAATGAAATCCTGATTAAAAAATTTTTTTTTTACACCTTTAAAAATGCATAGACCACCTTTCGATAAACCACATAAGCACATGTTTATGAAAAAAGAGCATATTAAAACGAACCATGGGCAAAACAGTTTCAACTTCGTAAATCATTGGCAAACACAAGGAAGCCCTGTAGTGTGGTTGGACCAATATCAACTGTGGACACCATACAAAGAACATTAACTCATTGCTGAAGGCCTACGAGAAAACTCAAAACTTGTACCCAGGCAGCCACCTGACTACGAGAAAAATCCGAGTCCCTTGATGTCTCTCTAAAACTTGCTCCAGTCCATCATTTCCAAGTTTAAAAAAAAACTATTATAGAGTTACCGTTCGTACACTTTCGTACCCTCATTGCCCCGCTAATTTTGTAGCTGTTTAGAGGGAAAATTATTGCACTTTTAATGTGGGTACCTAGATCTGTGGGTGTGGCTGGAGGCAGCCCAGGTGGGTGTGTCTGCTCAGGGAGGCAGCCCAGGTGGAAATGGGTTAAGAAGTGAACCCATTGGGGAATCCTGTCAGTATAACTTGTCCTTATCAGACCAGAGGACAAACTAAAGAGTTGAGTTTAGGTTCTCTTAAATGATCATGACTCACCACTGGAAATTAGTTGAACTGTAAGCCAAACAGATTTACGTACATCAAATTAAAGATTTGTGAGGCATTTTGGTGAACTCAGGCGATCGTCATAATAATGAAATTAAAGATAACAGCATTTTCCCGCCCAATTGGCGATTTTGAGATTTTTTTGTATGGTTGTATCAAGTGTAAGGGCCTATCACTAGCTAAGTTGGAATCTCATGCAGATGGCCCTGGTTCAAATCCCCAAAAGGGTGTTGTTAAACTCAGGTTGCTTCATGAGTTTTCAAGTCTTTCTGCTCACATGATCCAGCCGTATCAGAGATGGAAATATAATTCAAAGGTCCTGACTCCTAAGTATCTTTACAGTTATCAATTATGGACTTAGAAATTTTTTTGTGTAAAATTGGTATTTAAGAGACTTATGGTGAAATAGTAATAAGACTTTCAGCCATAAACTTTGTGTTCTTCAATAGTGCCAGTACATATAGTTGGTGCTGTGTGTTTTTTTCAAACACCATCCGATGATGTTATATATAGGCTATATATTTACAGTCGACTACACTTGTAGCGATTTCGTTGGGGGACCCGAAAAAAGATTGCTATATCCGTTTGCAACAGCCGTTGGAAGAAAAATTCAAGGGAAATAATCCCTCATGGCGCTAGACGAAGTGAGAGAGAGAGTCAGTATTGTGTTCGCTTCGGCGCTTATCATTCACGAGGGAGATTGCTCTATCTGATGCCTCGTACTATTGTGGGAATGGGCGTAACGTTACAAAACATCATCGGGTTCATCAATGCCAGGTCAAAACTAACCACGGGGGAAACATCGTTAAATCCGTTTTATTTTTACTAAAAACAATATGGGCCGGGGATAAGAATACAGCCGTCATGATAGATGTAGTGAATTCGGTACAACCGTTACAATTTTATTGAGTATGTGTTACATTGGTGCCTGTTCCACAGAAAAAGATCACTACGTCCGAACACCTTTACAACCGACTTCGCTACAAGTGGAGTGGACTGTACATTATTAAAATCCATTTTTGTAAGGGGTGGGGATATGTTAGGAACAGATGAAACCCTTTGTAGACTTACTCAACACTAGCAATCGGATGTTGATAGATCCTAAGCAAAGTAAAGTAGTTTCTTTTGGACCCATATTTCATCAAAATTGTTTTTTGTTTTCGATCAATACAATTTAAAAAATGTGAGAAACATAAATGGCTCGGGCGAGTGGTTATTTTTCTTCTCTAAATGGAAGGAAAATAGAAATGAGTTCATTGTCCTAAATTTTACATGCAAAGAGTTTTGTGACAAAACAGTGAAATAAGTTGTTTCTTTAAAAAAAAAGCAGATTACTTGATTCACCATTTGTATGCTATAAAGACAAAACTGTATAGTAGTAGTAATATAAAATCATTGGCTTCAATTTTAATACATTTTGTGGCAAAATTTTCAGCAAAGAGAAGAAAGTAAAAGAAGTGAGTTCAAATATTGGAGATAATCTGTTTTGTCACAAAGCCCCCTCACAGGTATTGGTGGTTATGGAGGACAAGTGGTCTCTTGTACATGTTTGCCAACAAACTGTTTCAAATATGTTATCCCTCAGAGGCTCCTTAAACGAGCCCATACTATTCAGAAGTGATTATGTACACACATAATCGTACCAACCAGTAAAGACAAAACAAATAAAGGCTTTCCTTATGTACAATACCTTTTACACCAAGAAAATCGTTCTTTCAAAATTCAGGAAATGTACAGAGAAACCAGATCTTTTACTTTCACGATGAAGCAATTGATAATATTGCCATTACATGTATGGTTGTAGCGGTATAGGTCATATCATTATATGAGATAGGGCTGAGGCAGACATGTATATAATACATTCAGGGCAGACAAAAAAATCATGGCTGGATAACTCTTCTTAAATACAAGTATTTTACTACTTTAATTGACAGACAATTTTTTCCAAATTGCTTATTAGACTTGTGTACTTTTTCAGCTCAAGAGGTGGAGAAGTGCTGTTTATATACGCGACCAGATTGGAGGGCTCCCTCATATAATTTTAGTAGAGGTTACACGGCGCTCGCAACTGCATAAGGTCATACGAGCGCCAGAAGATTAGAGGTGTTACAAGAGAGCAA